CAAAAAGAAAAAAAAAATCATTGATCAGCAGCTGCGTAAAACTCAACTTCATCCCCTCAGTTTCTCATGGGTCTTCTTGTGGTGTTCCAGCTGGGGAGAGCCCACACTGGCAACCTTTATGGGACTGGTGCCTTCTTTTTGTCGCTGTCCCTTATTTTTATGGGTTTCTTAATTAGGCAGCTAGTGAGTACAGCTTGACTCTCAAAGGAAAGCCTGGCACCACCGTGCTCTGTTTTCCTGTGGCTAGATTTGGAGATCGCCGTTTGTGTTCCTTTCATGCTGGCAAAAATGCAAAGACAGCATTGCCAAGCGTGCTTTTCCTGACCAGGCAGTTAGTTTTGATCGATGCCTTGCTTTTTGCACATATGGAAGGAGGAAGCCCTCTCAGTCGGCTTGCTTTCCTCCCGCTGTCGCTGAGCTCCCTAGCCAGCCGGTCCTCCTAGCCCAGACAGATGTATTTGCTCGTTACAGAACTTCCCAGGTCACCTACACTAAAGAGCAAAGCAAGGATAATGTATTAAATCAAGCAGTTGTCCTCTGCCGCATGTTCAGGTTAGACGTGATACATAAACATGCTAGAAAATGGTTTCAGCAGTGGAGTTCAGACTGTGCGACACCCACCTTGAGGCACTGGCGGTTTTAGGAGGTTACATTCCAGACATTAAGGCTCTTGTGGTGAAAATCATGGACACTGCGCTGCAGAAAGAGCAAAAACCTCAATAAAAAGAATCTGCCATGCAATTGCGTGCTCTGATGACCACAGCTTTGCCACATTCACAGGTCTTGCTGCTCTTCTCAGAAACTGCCATGCCATGGTACAGGGCAGGAATTTAAGAGTCTGAAAAGAAAGTGTATTTTGGTAAAGTATCTATGGATAGCGGTCTTAATTTTCACTTGCTGAATTTTCTCCTTGCTGGCTTCTTTTAGAGCATCCATAACTCAGGTTTACTTGACAGCACTACAGAAACAGACATGGTTGATATCTTGGGAATCAAAGACATGATGATTTTTTTTTAAAAAAAGGCTGTCTAGCCTGTTTTATCCTTCCCAGCCTAATGGAGGTTTGTTTGGTACAGCACATCCTCTGATGATAATAACTTTCATCATTTATGAGCAGAAGTTTATTTTCTAGCGAACTAAAAATGTTCTTCCTAAGGAGGTTTTCCCCATTTTCTTTTGGGCCGATTTATACAGCCTGAGATCTCAGTTTAAATTTCCCTTGTGCTTTTTCACCTCCTTTTTTTCTTTCTTTCATTTTTTTTTTTGTATCAGCTCTGCCATCCAAAGAGGTTTCCTCTGCCGAAACCCTTCAACAACTGCTCAGATCATTTACAACAAGCACTTTCACAGGCAGTAGCTCTACAAAAGTGAGGAAAAATCGAAGTTAGTACCTATAATAACGAAGTTAAATGCAGATTTAAGTGTTTGTGAACTGCAACTGACTGAAAGGGTGCCAGACATTTTGCAAATACATGCAAAAAGACAGGCCCCTGCTCTAATCGGCTTATAAATTAAAAGGAAAGTACATTGGCAAGAGCAGAAGAGATGATATGACATGCTTTAAATAGTTTATAGGGAGCTGGAGGATTGTTGTTTATTTGGTGATGTTGGGAAAATATTTAATGTGCTTTGGTTAAACTCTTTATAGAAATGCTTCTCCTCCCCCAGTTCTCTTTCCCAATGACTGTTTTGGAGATTAAAACCAGCAAGTTTAGAGTAGATGGAAAATGGAGAAACGTATTTCCAAATCGACAAAACCGCGAGTAAATCTTTATAGATACTTTTTACGTGAGTCAGGCTTTCTAAAGTAATTACCGTAATATAAGAAAGGACCGGCGCTTCGCTGCCCCTGCGGACGGCGAGCCAGGGTCGCAGCTGGTGTAAATTGAGCTACCTCCTATCTGGTGTGCCTTGCTGTGACTGTGAAGGGGGTGCGCCGTGGCCCCCACCCCCGTTCCCCTCGCAGGTTCCCGGGCCGCCCCCGAGCTGCGCCGGGCGGCAGCGGCGGCTCCGGGGGCTATTAAAACCAAACAAAACAAAACAACCCCCACCCACAAACAAACAACACCCCCCCTCCACAAAATCAAAACCAAAAACACACAACCAAAAAAAAAGCCCCAAACGATTTCTTTTTAGATTCGGCTTGCCATTCCTGCAGCCAGTTGCAAACCAGGGTGCAATTTGCTTTTCCGAGGCCACCGGATCGGGGCATGTTCCAGGTGTCGGTACGGAAAGCTGAGACAGGTAAGTGAATATTTCCTTTAGAGCCGTCTTCCCAGAATCTGGAAGCTGACCCTGGCAGCTGGGAGACTTTTTGCTCCTTTCTCTACCGCTTTATGTTGTTGGTGATATCTCCACAGATAAGCAACTTCGCTGCATCCGGAGTTTGCATTCAAAGAAGAGACTAATTGTGAGGAACTTTTCAGAATAAACACATTTCTCTTCCAAAGTAGTTTGTTTGTAAGGGGAAAAAAATATAAAGGAGGTTAAACGGGACAATTTGTTTTCTTTCGTGTCCTTCACTACATAACACACTAGAGTTTCGGTTTAAAATAGAGCCATCCCTAGCAGAAGGCACAGTACAAAATTTCGGCCTGCAACCACAGCACTGATTTGAGCAACAAATAACCCCTGAAGCCTTACTGTCATCTTCTGGTAATGCATAAAAAAAAAAAAATTATGAAATAACGAGATCCGTCAGAAACTCGCGTCCCTCTTGCGGAGGTGACCCCAAAACTGAGCAGCTCCTGAAACGGAGGCTTCAGGTCCTGGGTCATTTTAAAGCCCTAATTGCAAACTGCGGCTGAAGTGTTCGCAGCCGAACACAAATTTCCAGGCTTAAATTGCCTTCTTCCTGTCCCGGGATGCCAGGGCTTTGCTCAGCTGGAATTGCACAGCCTTTTCCCCCGGATCCTCTTACTTCTTGTAGCGCTCAAAGCCCCGCTGCTCCGGGCGACCCTTTGCTGCTTTTTGTCAGCCACGGCAGCCCCTTCCGAGGCGCGTTTTGAGCCCCGCTCCCCTTTTCCGCCTTAGCGGGATGATTTCACGACAAATCCCGGTGTGTGCACTCCCTGCTCGCCCCTAGCAGAGCCAGAGGTACGTTTCATCCTTCCCTCCCGTTACCGTTCGTTGCACGGTGACTGCGTGCCCCGGTAACCCGGGGCTGGCAGCGGGGCAAGGCGATGGGCTTGAAGCGTTTCGTGGGGCGGAGAGACGAGAAGGGAGAGGAGATTTCCACGGGAGACGGCGCTGCCTGCGGAATTCCCCGGGACCCAGGCCCGGCTGCGCGGCTCCGCCGAGCGCACCGGGCTCCGGGACTTGCCGTCGTGGGAGACACCGGGTCCGTTGCCTCCGCTTCCCGGGCCCTGGCTGGGGCGGACGA